TCTTGTGAGTATTGTTTGAAATAATTTTGGGGAATTGACATACCAATAAAAGCATTTGATAAAACATCGAAAAGCATTTTGGTTAGAAAAACATTGAAGGAAAATCCACGCCTGTGTCCATGTCCATGCCTATCTCTATACCCACGCCTACGTTTGCGACTATGTCAATATCTATCGCACACATCATCAAAAAATACGAGAAGATGAACGAGACGCGAAAATAATGATAGGAAAAGAGATGTAGCAGTAAAGATTTGAGATTAAGCCATCAATTGACTTATCTCAACACAATGAAGTCGCCACCGCACTTTATTGTTTCCAAAGGGAAATGGGGAAAAAAGCGAACAAAACCCACAATGAAATAAAAGATCAGTGATCGAGGTACGGGGGTCGGTTATGCAAAGGGAAGGTGTTAGCACCCTAAGCATCTATCGTACTCCGCAGGATCCACTCTGTTTGGGTTTTTTGAAATAAGTGTTAGGTAAAGGTTTACTTGCTAAAGGAAAACAATGAATGAGTATTTGTAAACAAAAGAAAATGTTTTTTTATTATTTTTCCTCACCTTGGGTCGTAAGACTTAGTGCCTACGTACTCCCTCGTGCAATGGGAAAGTCAGAGCATCATTGTTAGGAGAGAAATCTCGACTAGCACCCACAAGGTGTGGGAAAGATGGACCCTGCGTCAGCAAGAGTGAGGGTTTGAGAAAGCCTCTAGCACTCAAGTAGGAAAAGTCGACACCTTTATCAATGAATCATGTCTCATCTTGAAAAAGTTTTGAAGGGTAAAAGTGCTCGAGCGCACAAAAGAGTTTGAATGAGTTGAATTGTTTTTTTTAATTTTGAAAGATGTTTAAGCATGATTAAATGAATTGAAGTTTGTTTAAAGAAAAGAAGTTTTAAGAGAAGGCACTCGACAAAGTCGAGGTTTATTATGAAAGAGGTTTGAGTTTATAAACCATGAAGCTTTTGAAAAAAGATGAGAAAGTTTTGAAAATTAAAGAATGGGAGAAAAGAATGTCCTATGTACAGAAGGGTAAAAGATAAGGTAAAGAGAATTTGACAGAATAAGAAACCAGTACTTGACATGATGAAGTCAATACTGTATTCCCATCCCTTTGGATTTAAAGCCACAAACAAGTAAAATAAGCTAATAGTATACCAAACCTAGGGTGAAAATAAATCACAAGCAGACAACATCAAAAAACCAGATGTCAGATAATACTCCAAGCAACGAATAAAGCGCAATGAATCGTAAGTGAGAGGTGCAACACGTGAAAATAAATCACGGATAAAGAAATCATGGATGAAGCATCACGTTAAATATGAATAAAAATCTAACAGCACGGGAAAACCTATATGCATCTGTACGATTTTTCCGAAGTTAATTTGAATTTAAAATTAAAATCGCAACACGATGAAAATAATATTTACATAAACTGAATTTATTTACAAGTAAAATGTAAAATATACCGTCAAAATATTATCTACAAGTATATATTTACAATACCAAATATTAAATCAAAATAATGAAATACAATAAAGAGGTAAAGGATAAAGTGTCGGAATTATGGATGCACTATGTGAGAATGGATACTTGAAACGATTTTTGGAAACCTTCACAGTAAACAAACTCGTTAGTAGCATAAGCGGTATTAAAATTAAAATAAATGAAATTGAAACAATGAAAATCTATGTTAGAAATCACAAAATAAAGAATTGAAATGAAATTGTATGATACACATGAACAACTGAATATTTACACAAATAAAAATCAAGAATTCATGATATTATTCAATTACTACTATCAACCAATGAGAGTCAAGCATCGTATAGCCAATACATTTTTGTGACCCAGAAGCCCTTTAATGATAAAAATAACAACAACAAAAAATTGAAAGTGTTAAAATTAATTCAATTAAAAATAATTTTTTTGAATTTTTTCTAAATAAAAAATGAAGACTCAAAATGACTGAAAATGATACAAAACGAACAAAACTTTATCCGAAAAAAATGAAATGAACACATTAAAATAAACTACATGTCACAAAATTAAAGAAAAAATATTCAAAAAGTAAAAATCGAAATAAAATGAGAATAAAAATATAAGGCTAAACAGACGTTTACGGTTAAAACCGAGACTTCAAATTGTACCGAAAAAATAAAGCGAGCATACCGTCATGATCTACGCGAAATGCAGATTCATAAAATGATCGGTAAAAAGTGAAAACTTGAAATATTTTTCTCGCTAATTTTCCGCCCAGTGTCGAATCGCTTTTAACAGTCTGTCTATAAAATCGAACTGTTTTTATTATCGACATATAAACAATTTGGAGCAATGCAAGAAACAAGTAAAGAGATAAAAATGCATGAAGTGAAATGTCAAGTATTTTTCAACTACAAAATGATGTAAATGTCGATTTAAATAGACTTTTGGTCATCTTAAATACAACTGGTGATGCAAAATGTGATGAATAAAGATATTTATTAATGACTGTGACTAAATGACAAAATATGATATGAGAGTGCGACTAAAAAATTTAGGGGCGAAATTTAGGGTACAACAATATCCTTGCCAAAATTCACGTCTACGTCCATGCCTACGCCTACGCCTATGATACAAACATCAAGATCTCGCTAACATATTTCACCAAATCCAAATCCAAATCCACTTGGAGATACATGGGCCACATACAACGTTGGGGATTTGGTGACTACGAGAACCTGATGGCTTAAGAAAAGACAATCATCAAAAACATTTGCAAAATATTTGGGGCATACACAAACATTTGGGGCATACATATACATTTGGGGCATATACGTACATTTGGGGCATACACATACTTAGGGCTTATTCATACAAACATTCATGGTGTAGCACATAAGCATTTTCGCACATACACATTATAAACATTTGAGGCATACATCACGCTTGAATAGCACATCAATTTAAGGCATTATGCATGCAGGGCATCTTGCAGAGCTACTTTGGTTAAGATTACAAATTTTCTTGTGGTTCATCTTCAGCAGGCTTATCTGTGCAAACTATTAGTTCAAACATTAAAGCAATTTGGGGTATATTTTTTTCATGTTGATAGTTGTGGTTGAGGACGACATAACCAACTTCATCAAGAATTTGGTGTTCTTCACGTTGATAGTTTTCGTTGAGGACGACACAATCGACTACATCATGAATTTGGGGTATATTTGCTTCATGTTGATAGTTGTGGTTGAGGACGATACAACCACCTTCATCATGAATTTGGTGTTCTGCACGTTGATAGTTATGGATGAGGATGACACAACAGACTACATCATGAATTTGTGGTATATTGGCTTCATGATAATAGTTGTGGTTGAGGATGACACAACCGACTTCATCATGAATTTGGTGTTCTGCACATTGATAGTTGTGGTTGAGGATGACACAACATACTACATCGTGAATTTGGGGTATATTTACTTCAGGATGATAGTTGTGGTTGAGGACGGCACATCCAATTTCATCATAAATTTGGTGTTCTGCATGTTGATGGTTGTGGTTGAGGGCGACACAACCAATACCATCAAGAAATTTTGGGCTCCATCACTTCAAACATAACATATTCCATCCAGCTATCAAGTCCCGGTAAATATGTGAAATTAGGCAATCCCTTTAGGTACTGACGGTTCATCTGCATCGTCGTGTCTAGAGTTAAAATTTGGTTCAAATACTGCTAGGATGATACATCATCATCTACGCCTTCTTTTCACACTCAAAGGAACACTGTACAACGTATCCTTATAATCTCTCGGAATAATCTTGGGGTCTTCCAATATTTAATAAACTTATGATCAAACGTGCGAGACCTGCGTATTCTCGCACTACTCAATCATAAGATGATTAAACAGGGGCAGCTGTCATACCCCAAATTTTCCCTACCCTAATGTTATATTTAGGTTTCTAGTTAAACATTTCATATTATATAATTTTCATTTTTATGGGGAGTTGTTTAAAATCAAATAGGGGGTTTATTTTGTAAAAAAGGGTCACGGGCCTTTCTCAATCAGAAAAGGCCCATATATTTTTTTAATTCAGTTCGAATACAAAGGAGGGTGTATAAAACAATTCGCTTCATTTAGAGGCCCAATATATTTGAGTTGAATAAGCCTATTTTGATGTTTTTGATAAAACTGTCTATTTTATGTTGCTTAAAACGGTCTGGAATAAGCCCATTTCTCTTACTTTTGTTAATTTTGAAGAAAAGGAATTGATCTAGCAGGCCCAAAACGGTCTGGCCCGTTTGAAATTTTTTTTGGAACATGTTATAATTATTAAACTCTTGATATTATTATCAAAGTTTTTGTTTTGTTTTACTCAATAAAAAATGAGAGACGAGATATTATTTTTTTCGCAGGTCCCTTACAAGCCCAAATCAGGAAAAAGTTTACTGTGTACAAAAAACATTCAAATCATTGGATAAAAAATTGCATAATCGGCCCGAAGTTAATGTCGTGGCCCAAAGCACAAAACATACGGCCCGTATCAAAGTCACAAATATGTAATGTAGTGATCAAGGCGCGCGTGTAGAAGAGAAAGATGTTGTTCTAAGAATCAAAATCAACCTTAACTCAGTAAGGAAATCAGAAAATAATTTACATGTAGAAACAAGTTAATTGCTCATTACATATCGATACAAGGCTTAATTTCTGAAACAAATTTCAACTAAAATTGGAAATAAGTTCATTACAAAAAGCAAAAATTAGAAACAATGTCTTTAAGTTTACAGACAACAATTCAAAATATTTCTTAAATCTGAAAACCCTAATCAATTCAGGACTTGATTTATAGAAAAACTTATTGTTTCCCAAACTTACAGACACACATAATCAAAGCATTAATTTAGTTTCCTAATCTAAAAACCTAAAAAAGCTATAAACCAGAGATTACAGTAAGAGGAAAGGGGGAGACAAATGGTAAAAAATCATTACAGTAAAGGGACGGAAATCGAAAATAGAAGGGAATCAGAAGAAGTTTGAAGAACAGAGCTTTCTCCAAGCGGCCTCCGTCACTGCTTTCTCCCTTAAACCGCCGTCGCCACCATCTTCATCATGGTCGTACCTGGAAAACATAGAGGAAGGGATTAGCAGAGAGAGATAGGACGAAAAAATCAAAAACACATGCAAATTATCGTGATAGAGGTATCTCCCATGGAACTTAGCTTTTGTGATCTGGCTTGTTGAATGGTTGAGGGATTTGGGGATTAGGGTTGGATTTAGGTAGGAAATTGTGAAAATAATCGCCGTTGTAGTCATCGTCCAGGGTTATTCTTTGTTAATGTTGTTTGGGTAAGAGAATAACGTGCCTCAAAGAGAGATGCGAGGGATATACTGAAAAGTAATAATTTTTTAACAAAAATGTACTAAGTCCCGTGATCTGATGCGTGTTATCCTATATAAACTATCGTGTCCCTTCCGTTTTGGACGTACAATCCTAATCCAGCGCGCTAAAAGCGCATGTTCACCCTATTACTATACACTTTCCCACATGAGGTCTAAACGGACCTCTTTCCCCCCGTACTTGTTGCTCTGGGCAAGGCCTAACTACTAATCACACCCTTATCTCCTGGGTCTGAATTTAATATCTGAATTCAGGCCCATTCCTATTGATACCCCTTTACTTTACTAGTTTAATATGAAACGCACCCCCTCACATTTTTATTATTTCAAGTATTTTATTTATTTATTTTTTTCCTTTTACAATTTTATTTTATATATTCATTTATTTTATTTTATTTATATAGTTGTATTTTTATATTTTATAATTATAATATTATGTTGTTATTTATTATTATAAATAATTGATTATTTTAAACTCGTGTAAAATATAATATTGCTTATTTATATTAAATTATATCCATTAATCATGTACTTAGAAACATTTTTCACCCTACAAGTTAATTTAAAATTTTACATCAAAATATTAAAACCCGCAAGATTCATCAAACTGCTATATTCGCGAGTGACACGTGGCCAATATCTGGCCACGTGGTGAGGAGACTATATCGGACTCCTTCGCTCTATGTCTTAAAAAATACTCAAACAAACATCAAAGTATTTTTTTATAATAAATTAATTAAACAATAAATTTTTGGAAAGGAATACAAAGTTTTTTAGTCAACTTCGCGCTTAGTTCAAAGCCTCCACTATTCACACATTCGAGCTAAGTGCGGGGAAAATTAAAATATCTGCGTAACCCATAAAAAACACAAACAAACCGCGAACTACAAAACGGGACTCTGATTCCTCCTAAGAGGTTACGTAGGCATATGAATAAAATCGTGGTGAGTTCCCCCTAACTAAAATTACAACCCTTTCCCTAATTATACTTAGAACCCTATTTTCTAAACAACGCGCTTCTAAACTTAGTATCCTTACGAACAAGGTAGATAAGGGGTTCCTAACAAATTCCACTTGACTAGAACCGAGTCCAAGTCTAGAATCTCTGAACATTAGGGTTATTCCTTTATACAACCTTCCTTTAGGATAAAAATTAAGGGTGGCAACTCTTATTAAAAAACCAGTTGCAACATAAGTAACATGTAATTTGAAACGTATTATATAATTGGCAACTCTGTTGGGAAATTTTCCTAAAAAAGAGGGGTTACCTTAGGGATAGATCACTTGTACATTCTTTGTTTGTTTGTTTTCTTTATATTTTGGGCTTTTCTCGGGTTTAATTTCTTGCAAAGATCCTACACCCAAATCTAGGGATGCCTTAAGTAAGTAGCAATAAATCATGGAAACTGCATAGCATAGACCGATATGGTTAAAGTAATGGCCATGTTAGTGCGACACATTGGTTTGCACTGGTGTTCCTTGAGTCAGTCAAGGATAACACTAGGCTTCTACGTGGTGTCATAAGAATTAACTCACCTTTAGAACCTTAATTGACCCAACTTAGCCATTAGATAGTAGTGAAATAGTTGACTTTGGTGCAGTTTGAAGTTAGTTGATACTCAAAGCTACACTCATTGAGATTCAACTCTCGGGATATTTCGGTGGCAAGTCAGTTGGTATATTGAAACAATGCCTGAGAGAAAGATCAATGATATGGGACTCATAGAACTTGGTTACTATTCTTAGGACAGGTTGAGCCAACTAAACTTCAAGAGGGTACTTACCTATGAACCTCATGAAAGCCTTTAAACCTAAGGCCTTTTGTATGATTTGCTTGTACTTGTTATCTTGTTTAAACATAACATCATAACATCATAACATCATAACATCATAATATAACATTTTCACTGACCATTTCAAGGACCAAGAGATTTATCTTTGTTCTGTTTTGCAGGCTATGGCCTCCGCTCGCAGAAATACTATCTGAATCAACTTTAGGGGAATACCTTCCAAAGTCAAAGAATTTATCTCAAAGGTTCCCGAAAGCTCTTAGTTCAACAAAAGACATGGTCATTTGCTCAGCTTGGTTATCTCTGGTTTTGAAGAAGGCATGATGAGAATTTTATACCAGTTCTTTTATCCTAAATACCATTGCTTTACTATCCCCAATTATCAGTTGGTTCCCACAATGGAAGAGTTCTCTAAGTTACTTGGGGTGCCTATACTGGATTAGATATCCTTCACTGGTTTAGAGAAATATCCAAGACCTCAAGATGTTGCCACATCCTTTCACCTGAAAACGTCTGACATTGCATCTAATTGGGAAACCAAGAGTGGGGTTAAAGGTCTCCTTGCAAAATTTCTGATAGAAAAAGCTCAGTTGTTTCTAGATGCCATGAATTTTCATGCTTTCGAAGATGTTTTGACTTTACTAATCTATGGTTTGGTACTATTCCCCAATCAGGACCAACTTATAGATGTAAACGCCATCGAGGTGGTTTACTTCGCACCTTCCCCGCTCGATAATAAAGAATGAACAAGGTTTAAGGTGGTCTCAAAGGATAATACCACTCTTATTCATAAGTTTATTGTTGTTCTCGATCCCAAGAAGACATCATTATTATTTACCGTTGTTGAGAGTTCCCTAAAGTTCCACTCTTGGGCATAAAGGGAGGCATTACTTACAACCCTTCTCTATCTTTACGTCAGTTCGGTTATGCTTGGAGAGACGGTCCTCATGATATGCTTATCCAGGGTATTGTGTTCGACTATGACAATGATCTTAAAGGTTAATGGCAAAGATTTATCCATGCTTGGGGCATGGTCAATAATATTGATAGCAGGACTTTGGGGCATAAGAACTCCATCCCTCTGGAACCCTATCTCAAATGGTTACGTGCTTGTGCTCAAAACCTTATGATGCCATATCATGTTGTCTTACTAGTAATAATGGAGCCCGTTGTCGAAAGAGACGTTTCTCACACCATCCTTCATCCAGACATGCCTACTGACTTCAGGGAAATGCAGAAGTCCTGGATTCAAATCAAGGAAGAACAAGACACCTTTGAGACTCAATTCTATGCAAGTAAGAAGAAAGTGTTGGAGCTGACGAAGCAACTTCATAAGGAGCAGAGTCTTAACGCATATCTCAACACAAAGAGGAGGCGTCCAAGGGAAACATAAAGCTTTAGGAGTTTTTAATTTATTCCTTTATAATCTTTTGTATTCACATGAACTTACTAATAAAAATCTTTTTTTTTTGTTTCCTTTTGGTTAACAAGTTTAAATCTCATAATGTCCTTGAAAACATTGCATTTATATATCATGCATGTCATACATAACAGGTTTTCCTCACGGACAAGTTTTCTCATCTCCTTACTGTTTATTTCAGTAAAAGATAGCTCTCGAACAAACTGTGAAAGAACTTCAAGCTCAGAACATTCAATTTCAGCAAATGTTCTTGAATCTAGGCAAAGGACAGGAAGAGATGGAGGCCCTCATCACTAAGGAGAGGGAGGAGAAAATCAAGAAACCAACTGGCATCCTCAACATGGGTAGGAGACTCAAAGGTCCAGTGAAGTGAGCTTTAGATTTTGAAGAAGAAAATGATGACCAAGAGGAAGATGATAAAAGTATGAAGGCTGAGAAGAATAACAACCAGGGTTCTGATGAAGAAGAAGCAAACTATTCAGATGAACAATATCCTCCAGATGACGACAAATACAAATTATTGAAAGATCGTCTCAATGCCATGGAGATCCAGAGAGTTCCTCTGTTGGATTATAAAGAGTTGGGTCTTATCTTGGGAGTTGTTATCCCTCACAAGTTCAAGGTCCCCGTCTTTTTCCAAATATGATGGTGTGTCTTTTGCTAAAATTCATTTGAGGTCTTATGTTCAGAAGATCCAACCCCATACCACTGACATAAAGTATTTGGTACACTTCTTTCAAGAAAGCTTGTCGGGAACACATTTAGAATGGTTCTATCAACTGGAAGGGACGAATATTCATACCTTGGAAGATTTGGCTGGTGCTTTCTACAAGAAGTACTAGTATAATGATGATCTTGCACCAACCCGCATGCAACTACAAAGTATGTCCATGGGTTCTGATGAAAACTTCAAAGAGTACGCCCAAAAATGGAGAGACCTTGTAGGCGGGGTTCAACTCCTTTAGATGAAAGGGAATTGGTTGACATGTTCATGAGCACGCTGGCAGGTCCTTTCTATAACCACCTACTTGGATGTTCTTCAGCCAGTTTCATTCAACTGATATTTACGTGAGAACATGTTTAGAATGGAATCAGAAATGGTAAAATCCAAGTGGCTTTGTCTTTCAATACTCAGAAGAAGCCATACAATGGGAAGAAAGAGTCCAATTTCGTGTACAGCCAGAAGGGTCGTAATAAGAGTAACCACAACCAATACGTGGGGGCAGTTCTGATCTCTAATCACGCACTAGTGCGATAACAACAACGAGGTAATCAGCAAAGGCAAGATGATCCCAAGAGACAGTTTACCAAAATCAACATGCCGATGTCTCAAGCATTGCAACACATGTTGAGGATGAATCTGATTACGTTGAAAGAATCTCATCCAAACCCCAAAACTTCTTCTCCTTACTACAATCCTGATGCAAGGTATGCCTATCATTCTGGCAGTCCTAGGCATGATACTAATGATTGTTGGGCACTGAAATACAAGATTCAAAATATGATTGATGACAAGGAGATTGAATTCGATCCTCCTGAGACTCCAAACGTGATCACCGCTCCCATGCCGAATCATAATTAGGATCAGATTAATGTTGTGGAAGATGTCGATAGCAGCAACGACTTGAATAACTTGATTTCCCTACTGCCAATGACGGAATCTTCTTCATTCGAATTCTTATTTTTAATTTTATGTTTGTTCAAAC